GTGTAATATTATTACCATATTTTTTTAAGTAGATAGCACATACATTTTTAAATTTTTTTTATAGTGTATTAATATGAACCTATTTGGCGTTTAAATGTAAATATCCTTTTTTCCGCAGGTCTTTGTCTTAATCTCTGCAGTCTACTGGAGTCTACAGTCTGTGAATCAGCGAACAAACAGGATGAAGAAACAAAACTAGAGAAGACATCAACAGCAAACAGCCTCATACTGATGCATTACACACAAACTGTCCTGTACCGGTGACATCTTTCATACATTTAAATCATGAGATTTGTCCTTTTAATTTTACAAAACAACTGCTACTCTCACAAACTATTCACACTGATTTTGGTTTGGCATTGAAGAGATGCTATAAAAGCATGAATTAAGATATTGTAAAGACGACATGTTTCGTAGGTCTCAGAATGGTACTAACCAGCTTAAAACTTTTCAGCCATAATCAATGCATGTGGTAGATTAAATACAAAAGGTACCTATTAACTGTAGCTTCATATGCATGAAATTTATCAACTAATACAGTACAATAACTAGTGCAATAACTATACGATAACTAGTGCAATAAAGTACAATAACTAGTGTATTATGAAGAATTTTGTAAAATTATACACCAGTTTTGTCATACTGTACAGAAAATACCTGACCTCTTACTGACAACATGAAGGACCAACATGCTGTTAGGTGTATGTAATTTTAAACCAAAAAAGACTGGTTGTTAGCTGTGGTGTGATTTCGTGTAATTGTACGAGTTACCACCAGGTGGTGCCAGCAGGACCCCTAAAAATTGTGTCCCCATTTCATTCAATATGAAGTGTTTATCGATCATTTCATTGCTGGTCAGGGCCAGGTTCACTGGAGAGCAATTACACTATACTGTCATCTGACAAGAAGAAATGAGCTGACCGTTATGAATAGTTCAAAGAAAGTATTTGTTTTAAAATTATTATTATTATAAATGATGCTAATATGGTAGTAGTAGTAAGAAAGAAGAACATCTTGGTGTATTTTTAAAAACCACTACAGTCAGTGTGCAGTCAGTCAGCAAGACAAATAATGCAACAAAAACACAATCTACCTCCCACCACAATAACAACATTCATTTTAGCAAATGTTTATGAGATTAGAACTATATCTGATTTTATATTTTCTTTGTCGAAGCTTGTTTTAAATGATTTAAAATGGCACCTTTCTAACATATGACTTTGTCACTATTTCATAGTTTCCAGTTTCACGGTTTCATAACATCTGGATTTCACACCTGGAATAAAGTGAGGTGGCGTGCTTAAGTGGTGTAAATAATTCATGACAAATTTGTTAGATGTCTTGTTAACAGATCCCTGGAGGTGTGACTGAATTTAATATGTTACTTAAATGTTATTGCTCATTACAGATAGAAGCAGCGATAGTTTAAGTGAAGGTTGTCAGCAGAATCTATTAACACATTTACTTTTTTCATGGTGAAACCTTCCAAAACATCACTAACTGGTTTATTTCACTTTTGATGGATTATGTAACACATGTTTGCATCTCATGTAATATATTACATGTCTATATTTAATATAAGCAGTTTGCATCTAATATACACTATATGGACAAAATTATTGGCACACCTGACCATTACACCAACAGGGACTTCAATGACACTGCATTCTAAATACATGGACATTAATATGGAATTGGTCCCCCCTTTGCAGCTATAATAGCTTCCACTTTCCACTGTGGGAATTTTTGCCCATCCATCCAGCATTTGTGAGTTCAGGCTGTTCGATGGGGTTAAGGTCAAGGCTCTATGCAGGCCAGTCAAGTTCATCCACACCAAACTCATCCAACCATGTTTTTATAGACCTTGCTTTGTGCACTGGAGCACAGTCATGCTGGAATAGAAAAGGGCCTTCCCTAACTGTTTCTACAAAGTCGGAAACATAGCATTGTCCAAGATGTCTTGGTATTTTGATGCATGAAGATTTCCCTTCACTAGGAGTAAGGGGCCTATCCCAACCCCTGTAAAGCAGACCCATGCCATTATCCCTCCTCTACCAAACTTTACAGTTGGCACAATGCAGTCAGGCAGGTAACGTTCTCCTGGCATCCGCCAAACCTAGACTCATCCATCAGATTGCCATACAGAGAACACTGACATCGTCACTCCACAGAGCACAGGTTTCTGCTGCTCCAGAGTCCAGTAAATCCGATGCTTGGCGTTGTACTTGATCATGTGAGGTTTGCATGACGCTGCTCGGCCATGGAAACCCATTCCATGAAGCTCCCGCCACACAGTTTTTGTGCTAATATTAATGGCAGTGTAAGTTTGTAACTCTTCAGCTATGGAATCAGCAGAGCGACTTTTACGCACCATGCGCCTCAGCACTCAGTGACCCCGCTTTGTGACTTTACATGATCTTTAACTTCACTACATTTGAAAGACAAATATCTTTTCACTCCACTACATTTCTATCAAGGTCCTCAAAGTAGAAAGTCGTTACTATGTAGCAGCTTTGAAAGTCAGTGGGTGATTGTTTTCATTGATTACTTTTACTTGAGTAAAAATCTGTCTTTACAACTTTCACTTGTAATGGAGTAATATTTGACCAGCAGTATCTGTACTTTTACTCAAGTAATGGATTTGTGTACTTTGAGCAAATGACTATCAGCACTGTTGAATGGGAGCTGTGACAAACAATTCCTTAGTGAAGATATGGTCCCCATTGACATTTAAAAATAGTCCTTACATGGAATCGGTTATTCTGTTCAAAGACGTTAGAGTCATAATGTGTGTGTACTCTATGATATTGTTTATATAAACTAGTACAGCTCTATATTCACATGACAGCTTGGTTTGGCACAAATCTCTTTCCTGACATCACCGACTGTTAGTTGCATGCCTGCACATTGAGTTTGAGCTAAAAGCTCACTGATGTGAGGATAACTCACATTAGCAGTGACCCGAACCTCTTTTGCACAGATATTTTGTCGGCCTATTATGCTATTAAGTGCTGACTGCAAGATCTGCATTACAAGTACACAATGCAATCCACTGGAAACAATTTTCAGAGACTTGATTAGGTAAAATGTATAATGTGGTGAAAATAACAGGCCTGTGTCCTCATCGAAATGGCAGATGGGTCCTGTTAGCCTCACAAATGTGGTGTTCTGCTGCCAGAAAAGACCCAAATGACTCATGTTCAGATTATAGCATTACACTACTTGCACCAGTTGGCAGAACTAGAAAGAAACGGGCCCATCCTTTATGTCTCCTTGCATGGAATGAAACTCTTCCACGGGATGTTGACCATGGTAAAATATACAGTATAATGGGATTTGTGGCCTCATTTAGCCTTGTAACGAGATTGTTTATAAAATATGAGGCTTTTAGGTTGCATTTTCCAACTAAACATGTTTACACTTTTGTCAGAAATCTGCCTTTGCTAAGTGATGCACACACACAGTACTTTCAGACAGTGTACTGGTTAAGGGTAATTTTGTCATCATTTACTCACCCTCATGTTGTTCCAAATCTGTTTGACTGACTTTCTTTTCTATGTGGAATACAAAAGAAGATATTTTGAAGAATATTTGAACAGTTTTACAGAATGTTATCTTTCAGTTATATAACAGATGTGGTTGGAGTTATTTAGGTGAGTAGAAGAGATGCAGAAAGCTTGGAAAAGCTGTCAGTCACTTCACAGCTCGTGAATTCTAATTCTCTAAGGATGTAAACAAAATGAATGAACCAGCTGTCCCATGCATAACATTCAAGAGGTTTAGCCCTATGCAAAGGGTATGAGGCATTTTACCCCTAAAAGTTACATTTTTGGAAATTTTTTCTTACACGTAGTAAGGATTTTTGATGTGTACATTTATAGTTTAGGCATGCAATTACAAAAATTGGAGTTATAAAAAAATCTGTGCAATGTACAGAAGTCTGGGGCCAGTAAGATTTATTATTTTATTTAATGTTTTCATTCAGCAAGGATGCATTAAATTGATCAAAAGTGACAGAAAAGACGTTTATAATGTTATAAAAGATTCCCATTTCAAATAAAATACAGAACTTCAAAGAATCCTGAAGAAAATTTAACATGGTTAAATGATAACAGTAAGAAAACATATTATATTTTTTATATTTATTATATATCAACGTATTAAAATCATTTCTGAAGGATCATGTGACACTGAAGACTGGAGTAATCGCTGCTAAAACTGCAAAAAAAAATTTAAACTATTTTAATAAATATTCTGCATTATTCTATATGTGGTTAATGTGTCCTTTTTTTAAAGGTATAATCTTTGAAAATAGTAAAAAAAAAAAAAACTAAAATTTTTCAAATTTGTTCTGCATATTCATAAAATTTTTTAATTTGTTCTAAAAACAAATCTTTAAAATATATTCAACGAAATTATATATTTAGCAGATGCATATTTCTGAATGTGGTTAATTTGTTCTACCAATTTCTTTAGCCAAAAAATATAACTTTAAAAAAAGGATAGAAAAATTCTCCATATTTCTAAATTTGGTTAATCTGTTTTGCAGATTTATTTATTTATTTTGATTGCTTCTTCAGAGTCATGATTAAACAAATGTTTATCACTCTCTGTCAGACAACAAAGAAGCACAATACACCCAGAACATGAAAAAGGATGTTAATTGTGAAACAACACTAGTTTAGCATCATTTGATGATGTTTGTTATATATAAAGTTAATATACAATGTAAACAGCATTTTCATATTAAGGGGTCTTTAGTTGGCTGAGACTGGTAGGTGTCTCTACAGTAGGTCCGAAAAGATAGACATCTTCTACCCTAACTCACCCTCAATAGGCTGCATCCTTCCAGTATCGCATCCTAGATTCACTGCCTGCTAAATCGCAAGATGGAGAGAATCAAGGGGAAAAAGAGGAAGGGAAGGGGGGGAGTGTGTGTGATGCGAGCAGAGGCACTCATGTTGCAGATGAGTAGATCACTCTCCCTCTCTCCAGCGCTCCTCTCTCACGCTCATTTTCCCATAGATACAAACACAGTGGCTCTCTTAGAAGAGAGGGGGGTGACGTCCCCTCCAGACGATGGAGGAAAACACATAACGTTCCTGTTGGATCGCTGCGGTTGACTTTGAGAATCATCAGGTGAGTTGAACTCTGTTTTGCACTTGTTTTTGTGGGAAAGAGGGAATTGTGTTCAATCCGTTACCAGTGACAACATGATGGAGCTCTTGACTGTATTTGCATTGCTCCTACAGACTGTATTGCAGACCGATAGTGACAGGATTGAACAAACACTTGTATTTGATGTTTCGTGCTTATGGTCATGTAACACATAATTTGTATGTTTGTGAGCTTGTTGTTGGTATTTTAACGGTGAGCTGTGAGTAAAAGCCATTTTGAATGTGGGTTAAGTTCAAGACGAGGCCAAGATCATCTATTTTTCGTAGCCTGAGGTAATGCTGAGAAGAGTTTGTTTTGGGTTCTTGACATGGCAAGCAGTTTTATTCATAAATACAGATTATCCTTCAGAAAAGACACTTGCCTCAGGCACTTCCTGCTCTTGTCGCAAGACGTTCAGAGGCATGACAGGATGTGGAATTGAGTTGCAGAGTTTTCCTTAAGTAGTGAGGCTTGTAGAATACTTCAGAAATTGATGAGTGCACGAGCTCATTTTATTTCAGATTCTTCCTTTCTATGTGGCAGTCATCATTTTTTATGAAACTCTATGAATGTTTTGGCACAGTAGGCCTAATCATAGTTTAACTGTAATATTTTTTTGCAAAATCAGGTGAAACTGGTTAGATCAGTGCAAATATGGTTTCTATAAAACAAATATTTGCTACAAAAATATCGGCTGATATTATAGTTTTTTTTAAAATATCGGTTGCAATTGATATTGAATATTCAACTGTACAATATTATTTGCCATATTTTTACATCTAGATTACCTTTGCCATCATCTAACACTTAGTTAATCTTAAAGTTAATATTTATGATCACTAATAACTTATTAAATGCAGTTTTTAGCTAATTTTAAAATGAATATTCATTTTTCATGCTGTACTTTATAGTGCCTAAATTCAAAAATGGTTGTTTTAATTTTTTTAGTGTTTTATTTTAAATTTATTTATACAAAATAGTATAGAATTTTAATATTGGCCATTTATCGTTTATTGGCTATAATATGAAAATAATTAACGGTTTATCAGTGCATCCTTGTAACTGAAACTTTATACTTGCTCCCCTAATAGATTATTCATTTGGAATCTACATTGTCTCTACAAAATATCAGTTATTAAAAATGTTATAGTAAAACCATGATTAATTTTTATAAGGGATATAGACCCATATCTCACTTATAGGTATTATCTTTTATTTGATAATAAATTGTATCTTGAATAACACAAAAAATATCTACATCGGATGTTAAGCTAAAAATGTGGCTGATAATTGGAGATTTTAATTTTTTATTAAATTTTTTAATTAATATATTTATTCAGTAAGGACACATTTCTATTCATCAAATAATCCTGAAAAATGATCAGTTTCCACAAAAATATTAAAATGCACAACTGTTTTCAGCATTGATAATAGTTTCTTGAACACCAAATCAGCATATTAGCATATTATGATGAATTCTGAAGGATCATGTGACACTGAAGACTGGTGTGATGACTGCTGAAAATTCAGCTTTGCCATCACACTTAGTTAATCTTAAAGTTAATATTTATGATCACTAATAACTTATTAAATGCAGTTTTTAGCTAATTTTAAAATGAATATTCATTTTTCATGCTGTACTTTATAGTGCCTAAATTCAAAAATGGTTGTTTTAATTTTTTTAGTGTTTTATTTTAAATTTATTTATACAAAATAGTATAGAATTTTAATATTGGCCATTTATCGTTTATTGGCTATAATATGAAAATAATTAACGGTTTATCAGTGCATCCTTGTAACTGAAACTTTATACTTGCTCCCCTAATAGATTATTCATTTGGAATCTACATTGTCTCTACAAAATATCAGTTATTAAAAATGTTATAGTAAAACCATGATTAATTTTTATAAGGGATATAGACCCATATCTCACTTATAGGTATTATCTTTTATTTGATAATAAATTGTATCTTGAATAACACAAAAAATATCTACATCGGATGTTAAGCTAAAAATGTGGCTGATAATTGGAGATTTTAATTTTTTATTAAATTTTTTAATTAATATATTTATTCAGTAAGGACACATTTCTATTCATCAAATAATCCTGAAAAATGATCAGTTTCCACAAAAATATTAAAATGCACAACTGTTTTCAGCATTGATAGTTTCTTGAACACCAAATCAGCATATTAGCATATTATGATGAATTCTGAAGGATCATGTGAAGACTGGTGTGATGACTGCTGAAAATTCAGCTTTGCCATCACATGAATAAATTACATTTTAAAATATATTAACGTAGAAAAAAAAATCTATTTTAAACTGTAATAATATGTTACAATATTACTGTTGTTACTGTAGTTTTGGTTAAATAGCCTAAATGTAGCTTTGGTGAGCATAAGAGACTTATTTTTAGACTTTTGAATGATAGTGTTCTAATACTGTTGGGACCCAGTCATGCTTGTACAGTACAAAGCAGTGCTTCACATCAATCAGTGCCAGCCACTGAGGTCAAGTCTAACTGTGACTTCAGTACTGACTGGCATGATGTTGCACATTCAATTATTTGATGGCATGATGGGACACAGATACTCTTCTTGTTGTTCTGTAATAACCGATACCAAGTACAGAATCACAAAAACAGCTTTACACATATACATGAAATGAGAAATAAAGCTAGACTATATTACACAAGATGAGTTTTGTAAATATCACAAGATGATTGACAGTTTTCTCATTCTCTCCACAGAGGCTGAGCTGGTGGATTTTATGTAACAGAGACAGATAAACACTGGACAGCATGTCGAATGAAGAAAAGTGGGTCACTTTGAGTCCAAATGAATTCTCTCTTCTTCAAGACTATGCACAATGTAAGGCTTTTATTCTGGAATTCTTCAGTTGGTTAGTCTAGAGGCTAACTAGTGATGCTATCTTGTAAATTACATCATAATGATATTCTTGATAATCGATAACTTTCCTTCATAGTCATGAATATAACTGAATATGAACACATGGTTCAAACTTTGGTTGCCTGGCTGGAGTGAAATTAGTTACAGTTGTGCAGTAAAATTCACTTTAAAGATTAACTTTTCATTCATGAAGATGACATGAAAAAATGTGCCAAAAATGTGTCTCCTGGCGAAAAAAAAAAGACTTTTTAAGATGAAAATGACATGAACTTAGTACATCACCAGTAGATGACAGCAAAGGATCACCCATTAGCTCGGTTGCCATTTCAACTCCCTAGTTTTTTCACGTATTGCTTTTGGATTTATCATAAAATGACTACTGTAACACAATTTAGTACTTTTACTGTACTGAAGTATAAAGTATAGCAAGTGCAGTAATTCACAAAGTCTCATGTCATTGAAAAAAATTAAATAAAATTAAGCCCAGACACCAACAGCCTAGAAGGGTTAATTATTTAAAAACTTAAGTTAACTTCAAATTAAATAAGTTAATTATTAATGTTATAACAATTAAATAATAATGCATTCAATATTTTTGAAATATTTTTAGATTTAGTTTAAAAACTACATTTTTAAAGTTTTATCTTTAACTGTAGAAGCTGCGAAATACATTTAGCCAATTCAGACGGGCTGCAGTAGTTTTGTTACTCTGAATTTACTCTGAATCACTTAATGCACAGCTCTATTTTGACATCGGCTCGTCAGATGTTTTGTTCATTGCTTTATCACTGTCATAGTAATGACTCGCAGAATAATTTAGCGGATTCAATTTTGTCATTCCTGAAAGAGTATACGGTAGTATATAGTATACAGTATGGTCCTCTTAGACAAACAAAACTTTTCTTCAAATTGTGAATGGATTGTGTAGAGAAACCAAGCAAAGACCGCACCCCTTATAGCACAGCTGATTTTGACAGTTGACCGGAAATTACTGAGCTGGCTTATCTAAAACCAGGAAGTAACCGTGCATATAGTCCATTTGTCCAATATTTGTTTATCAATGCATGATGCATAAGTTATGGTTTAATCCAGGTATATGTTTCCTAAAGAACATTTCTGAGATGGAAGTGCCAAATAATACTGTTTCAATATGGTTTATTCTTCACTATCCAAAGAGCATCTTCCACCCACTAAATATCCTTGCGGAGACACGCTAACAGGCTGCCATTTCACTGGTATGAAAATCGAACTATATAACGGCATTTGTGCATGTGTCACTTAAGGAAATGGCATTTCCTGGTTGGAGCTTAAGGTTAAGACTTCAATCTAATCTAATCGGTACCAGACTATGAGGGGAGAGAAAATTCTGACTGACAGTTATTAATTCCCCTAAATACATAATCCATCCATGATGAACGTTGATTCCTTTGAGTGCTAATGCTGCGGTGGGAGTCAGTCTGAATGAAGTGTCACCTATAATCTCTTTTTTGAGGAAACGGTTAGAAAAGCCCAGTGTTTGCTGTCAAAGTAGACCATTTTTCACCATTATTTATTACATTTACCATTAAGATAAAGAGATAAACTATTCTTAGACTATTTTAGTAGCAATAATCTACTTGACATGACAATAATAAAGGATTTGATTACACACCAATTCAAAAACCAACCACATAAAGATGAAGATACAGATTCGTGCTGTTTTGATTACCCTAAAACCCACATTCATACATAACAAATCAACTGTCAACGAGAGGATCTTTCATTACGTATGCAGAGAACAGAGATTGTCTGCATTTAATTGAGTAATCTGAATAATTGATACCCCAGAGCCCACTGTTTCCTGTGCTAGGCCAGGGCTTTTTTCATTCTAATTGGCTTGCATGCAGTACGACAATATGGGTCAGTAGTGAAGAGGAAGGAGGGATATGAAGGTTTGAAAGTTGTGAACTCTAGTATCATTGGACTCCATATACAGACATCTGATCGACTGAAAGATACACTCTGGTGAATCTGTGCTGTTTTAAAAAGAGGGAAAAGATGTGGAGTTAAAACCAAACTTATTGTTTGAAGTTTGGGAGGTAGGGTGGCATAGTGATTTGTTTTAGAAAATCTGTCTTTTAAATCATTTCCATGGTCATTGACGAATAAGCACTTATTAAATTGGGACAAACATTTTTCATAAATGTCACAAAGATTCAATGTGAGAATATGAAAATATTTTTCCTTTCCAAAAAGAAAAAAATTATTTAATTAAGTAATAAAATAATTTAATAAAATAATGTAAAATATTAAGCAGCACTGTTTTCAACATTGATAATAATATGAAATGTTTCTTGGGCACCAAATCATATTAGAATGATTTCAGACGAATCATGTGGCACTTAAGACTTGATATTAATATATTAAAACAGAAAACAGTTATTTTAAAATAATATTTCAAAATATTGCTGTTTTTACTGTATTTTAATCAAATAGCCTTGGTTGAGCGTAAGACTTCTTTCAAAAACATTAAAAAAAAAAATCTTTCAACTTTTTAACAGTAATGTAACCTTGCCATATCCAAAAAATATCAAAATATATAATGATCTTTAAAAAAGCATCATATGACCCCTTTAAAACATTTAGCAAAAAAGCAAAAAAAAAACAAAACATGAATATGAATATAGAAATTCTAAACAAGTTCTTCCTAAAATAAATAAAAAATTGTATGCAAGTCATTATCTGTATGAAATGCATTTTTTAAATGTTTTTTTGGCATGGCTTAGCACCACATCAAAACGTCATTGACCGTTAAATGTCTGAAATTTCCTTAAGCTGTCTTAACTATTACAGTGGCTTTGTGTGCCATTGAAAAGGTGATTAACTACACCTGATTGAGTTTACAAGTCATTTCTAGGAGGGGGGTGATCCTTTTTCCAACTCAGTGATTCTGCTTTTTTATTTTATTTATTTATTTATTTATTCTGATATGTTGGTTTTATATCTTTCACTTGGATGTTATATGTTGAGTAAATACAGCTGGATAAAACAAAAACTGTCCGTCTTCATTTCAGGTTGCAAAGCAACAAAATGTGATTATTTTAAAGGGGGGTGATACAGTATCTTCCTCTTGTTTTACCCCTTTGTTGCAGACACAACTAAGAAACTAAAAGATGTTCTCCAGGAGTTTCACAGAGATGGGATTCTGGCCAAGTATAATCCTGAAGAGGTATTGCAACTCTTTATAGCCTTATAAGCACACTATTTTGCTGTGTTGTTCATGCTGAGCTAAGAATGCTGTACTGGACCGAATGTTGATGATGATGATCTAATTTTTTAGTGGTTATTAGAGCCATTAAACTATAAGATGTTGCTTTTGGGTAATGAAATCATTTCGGTTTCCATAATTGCTTGGCATTCATTTACTGAAGATGCTTTTACTTGTCGTTTTGTGCTGCATAGAAACCAGAAATCCTCAATCAGGTAAATTGTCATTTTATGGTTTTACAGCCTGCAGTTATTTGGTCAGTATGAAATATGAACCGAGTAACGGTGTGAATCACCTTTAGCAGAAAATTGACTTTGAGGGTTTCAAGCTCTTCATGGAGACCTTCCTGGAGAATGAACTTGCTGATGAGTTCTGTCAGCATCTCTTCCTCAGTTTCTGCAACAAAGACCCCAAACCAAGCCCCTCCATGACAGACAAGCAGAGAATCATGGGTAATTTAGATCTGCCTACACACAGGGTGAACAACCTTTATTCAAACATATGTGAGAAAAACAATATATGTAATATACTGTCATACCTAATCAAGAAACCACCACTAAGTTACTTTATTTAGAGAAAACATTTGTGAAGTTAGTTAGCACTTGTCACGTCTGCCAGAGAGGTAGTCTGCCCGGGTGGAAGAGGTGAACAGGCCTAGAGAAAAGAAAGATCACGCAGTGTTTTATCGGTTGTCCCCGACAGTCTTTCTAGCAAGCATGCACAAAACACTCTTCACATACATGTAAAAGACCAGGTACAAAGAATACGGAAGGGACAATATTCTGGTGGACACTACAAAACAGAATTGAACACAATGCACAGTGGTAGAGCTACCATCTTAACTCGAGCTCTCTCCTAGGCCTACTACTCTCCCTGTACATGCACGCTCACTGAACAGCGTTTAAACATATTTAAAGGGACATTAACATGAATAACATTAGGTGGCCGTTACACACTACCATTCAAAAGTTTGAGCTCAGTAAGAATATAATAGTTTTATTCAGAAAGCATGCATTAAATTAAGTGACAGACATTTACAACGTTACAAGAGATTTTTATTTCAAATAAATGCTGTTATTTTGAAATACCTATTCATCAGAGATCCTTGAAAAAATGTATCAGTCCAAAAAAATGTTAAGCAGCACCGTTTTCAACATAAGAAATGATCATAATCAGCATATTAGAATGATTTCTGAAGAATCATGTGACACTGAAAATTGCTTTGCCATCAATTACATTTTAAAATATATTAAAATAGGTTTTACATTGTAATATTGTAATACATTTTGATCAAATAAATGCAGCCTTGTTGAGCATCTTTCTTCAAAACCATAAAAAAAAATCTTACTGACGCTGGCAGCTAGTGTACAGTAGGCCTTTAAACCAATAATGTTGGCCACATAGATGCACACAGAGCAGATATATTTAGTTTATTCCTGTTATTTAGTTTTAACTGTACAACTCATAAAAACAACAAACTTGCAACATTATTCTCCCAGAACACTACCAGAGCTACAGCTAGTGTAACAATAGCAATTAAATCTCTTCATTATTTCCCATGGATTTTTAGTTGCAGTTCTGGCCAAACACACAAAAAGTGATGTGTTAACTGTTAAACATAATTGAATTGTGGTTTACAAGGTCTAAAACTTATGAAGGGAAGCTGCACGCTGGCGAATGTGACATCCCCGTCCAAACCTCTCGGCACCATCCAGCTGAAGGATATGATCTGCTACCTCTCTCTGCTGGAGGCCGGACGACCAGAAGACAAACTGGAATGTAAGATCATACGGTACCATTCCTACTAATTGACTAGTTTTATTCAAAGTAACTTACAGTACACTTACGAGTCCTTTATAATGTGGAAGAAGCTCTTTATTGGTTAGGGTTCCCGTTTGGTTCCATAATAGAGAAACAGCTGAAGGATATGATCTGCTACCTCTCTCTGCTGGAGGCCGGACGACCAGAAGACAAACTGGAATGTAAGATCATACAGTACCATTCCTACTAATTGACTAGTTTTATTCAAAGTACAGTACACTTACGAGTCCTTTATAATGTGGAAGAAGCTCTTTATTGGTTAGGGTTCCCGTTTGGTTCCATAATAGAGAACCACGAGGCTGTGCTTCCATCTACTGGCAGCTTTTGTCACATCTCTAATGGTTTTCTTATTGTAATTCCAGGCTGCTAGTTTAGAAACCTGTTGCTATGGGCTGCTCAGATGCTAATAACCTCTTGCTAAGGTCTAATACTGCCCCTGAGACGCTATTATGCAAGAAAGAACAAACTGTTTGAATGAAAAACATCAGAGATGGGCTAGTTTTGGTTAAATTGTGCTAAGCTTGATTGAATGGTCTTCTTGAGAGATGCTGCTATTTGGCTGAGCTGCTGGTTTCCATGGCGACACCCACTTTATAATGACTCCTAGAAAAGCTGAGATTGCACTCTGAATTGAGCGATTCTTTCCATAGATATCCAGAGCAATTGTATTATCAGATGATTTTTAGATGCATAAATTATCCTTGTATTAAATCTGCAGTGTTTTCTCTTTTTCATCCTCTCCCTCTCTCTCTTTGTTTCTGTCGCAGTCATGTTTCGCCTTTATGACGCAGATGGGAACGGGTTTTTAGACAGTAAGGTGAGACTTCATCAGTCTCTTCAGTTTTTATTGCTGTATTAACAGCAAACCACACCAAGTGGTTTAATGCTGGATTGGTTGCATTTACTGAACTAATTTAGCTCCTTACAGTTTTGTTTGTTTCCAGACATGTCTGTAATTTTTAGTTTTATTGATGCTTTTCAAGACGTAAAAAGGACAGATTCAAGAAAAGACATTAAAAAACAAAACAAAAAGAATAACAAAAAATGTATGTGTGTGTATGTATATGTACACACACAGTTAAAAAAATGGTGTAAAAGTAATTTTCATTCAGAAATTGCTAGCTAATTTACAAACAGTTAAAACTGGCAAGTAACATTGAATTGAATATATATATATATA